CCGCTACGCGACGGACGTAGCGGAAGGACGAAGAGAGAACGTCCGCGCGTTGGGACGTTTAAGCAGGGGGGACGGACGAAGGAATTCTTACGGTATCGTATTTCTCCAAGGGGCAATTATTGGTCGTTCGTACGCAAGAATCCAAGATATCTGTTAAAAAGGCCATTGGCCGCGGGATATGCGCGAATATCGCATCGATGACGGTGACACCGGTCTTCGTCATGGCGGCCAAGTTACCTCCATGCTTGATCAAGATCCTCACGCAGTCGCGATGACCTTGATAAGACGCTCGATGGAGAGCCGTGCAACTGACCTGGGACGAAAAGACAGAAAGAAGCGTGTAAGTGTTGTTTTGTCATTCGAAGTGTCGTCCGAAGAGAGTAACCGAGTTATATACTATCGAGGACAGGAAAAGCGGCCGATATACGAGACCGACCTGGTCGCAAGAATCGATGCGATGAGGCTGTATCACTTTGAGCAGAGCGATCAACGTCTCCGTGCTCCCTACGCTCGCAGCGATGTGAAGGGGCGTGCTTCCGGAACTTTTGCACTTAAACATCGGCCACGCGCCGTTCTCCAATAATAATTCCGTCGCCTCCACACTGCCCAGCATCGCCGCGTGATGTAGAGCCGTCGTTCCTGGCGAGAACGCACGAATTAGATTCAGATGAGAAAATATATCGCGCGAGATAACACGAGGATCTAACAAGATAGATCGTATCATCGGGACTTTCGATGTCGGTGATGCGCAGAATCGACGGGAGTGTGACGCATTTTATTGGCTTATTGCATAACAATCGGCTGACCAATACCCGTGTCCGGATGAATAATGTTCACGAACGCCTTCTTCATCACCAGAATCCGAATGATCTCGACGAATTTTGCCATCTCCTGGTCGTTGTAGCGATCCACCGAGCTTCCTGCCAAGAGCAACGGAGAGACCAAGTGTTCGTCCTTGGCGTTTACGTCCACGTCGGCGTCCACCAAAATACGTACAACGTCGGCGTGATTGTTCTTTACCGCCTGGTGCAACGGTGTTCTGTCCCAGCACGTCGGCAACGGCAACTGAAACAACGAAGAAAGGAACGCGTCTTATTCCACTGTAGTAATTTGTTTCGAAGAAAGTAAAATTTCTTGACCAAAGGAAGTATTAAAGGTCATGAAATCAAAGTACGGATGTGTGTGTATGTGTGTGTGTGCGTGCTAGGGTCATTTTAAATATTAATATCGTCAGTATTAATATTATTTGTGGGAGAATGAAATTGTCCATTATATATTGTTGTGAGAACGTACCGAATATTTTTCAGACAAATAAACACGGCGACACGGCATCTTCCACAAATCAACCGACTTTTGAGTCTCAATAATATTGTTATAAATAATAACCTTCTGATAACCCTTTTCCCCAATTGCTAAGTTAACCCAAAATGTTGATCCTACATTAAAGTCTATTTAATTCAACATTAGTCTTCAAGTACAGAAAACGGAAATAATTCCTAATAATGCTCCTAATTAATAGTACTCCTTTGATGCTACAAAGAAAATTTAGATCTTCTGGGGGGAAATTTTTAATTCTACATTAAGTCTTCAAGTAGAGAAAACGGAAATATCTTCCCATTTATAACATTAAAGAAAATGCAATATAAGATCTTTGAAGACTTAATATAAAATTAAATAGATTTAGTATAGAACTGAAATTTCGACTCGGGAATTAGTAAGCAATTTTCTTATTCTAATATCATGTTACAAAAAATACTGCCTCGGCTAGAGGTCGAGCCTGGACTTAACCGGGTAGAACGCCGTACATGGCAGTGTTCATCGCAACAATCAGTAAAGGTTATCTAGGGATTATCATTTGTAACAATATTATTGGGATTCAAGAGTCATTGGAAGACTGTCGCCGCATTCGTTTGTGCAGAAAATGTTCAGTATGTTCGCAACATACGATAAAAAATTTCTTCCTCCCACAAATAATATTAATACTGGCAATCAATATATCAATATTTAAAATGCACTAGATCATGCCTACGTATAATCAACGTGCACACCACAGGCATATGAGAGAGGTCACTATGCTCGGACACGGGCAACAGGACTAGGAAGAAAAGATCAGCCATACTTTGGATTCTCATGGGGTTCAATTCTTTTTTTGATTAAACCAAGTAAAGGCAGTTTTAATTTAGGGCAAAAGTCCACATTATAGAGGCTGATTCTATTATCGACAGAATTCAATTTTTGAGTAAATTATAGAATGTAAAGTGGTCGAAAATAATACAATGAATTTTTTTTGAAAATTAAAAGTATTAGTTTTCATGTTGTATATAGTTTATTAGACATTAAATTTGTTATAATTAAAAAATGTTTTCAAATCACTTGACTTTAATTTTGTCCTTTCTCTAGCTGAATATACTAAGCATGCAGACAAATGTAAAGAATCATAAAGATTTTTTTCATATTTTAACGTAATGTCGAAATTTTCTTTCTCAAAATAAAACTTTATATTTTTAATTGATTGATGATTTTATGTATCACGATAATATATCCGTCTTAATTATTTTTTACAAGAAAAAGATGTCATATAATAGAGTTCAATTCATATGTGTATTTCACTTATCGAATCCGGTAATGGACTATGCGTTGAAATGAGAAGACTCGATTACCGTTACTTTTCAGTGACCATTCTTACATGCACCTAATTTCATATGCTTGAAAGATTGTTAATATGAACAAGGTATTATACTTTGTAAATCAGTTATTGGAGCTCGGTAAAGTCTTAGTACTCAGTAACTGAGACTCAGCAATATCCTCATTATACTTTTTAGAAGGCTCGGTAATCCAAATAACATTTCTTCCAAATAATAAGAGAAAAAGACTTAATTTGTCAATATAAACGTCCGGAAAAATTTGAGTACTGTGTTAATGTCTAAATATACTGTCTAAATGTCTAAATATTGATATGAAATAATGGGTGCTTTCCATTTGGTGACACACGTCAATACAAGCATCCCGAGTCGAAATTTTAAATTCTACATTAAGTCTTAAAGTAGAGAAAACGGCAATAACTTCCCTATTTATAGCACCGAAGGAGCACAATAGAAAACCTTTAAACACTCATTGTAGGACTAAATTAGACTTATAATAAATATAATAAAATTTTGTCTCGGAATCATCCTATCTTTGTTACTCATTGAATGTGAAACAAAGACAAAATGAAAAGCACCTAATGGATATATGGACATCTGGATAAATCGTAAAATAATCTTTACAATGTTATATTCAATCAGGTCATATTCTTCTAACTTCGGTAATAGAGCCTTTTACCCTAATTAAAATTGGTTTATTTCTTTTTACTCTTCTCTCTCGAAACGAAACATGACAGGTGCGTGCGGTACTTCCGCGCGATACGAACAGTTCTGCCGACGTGGCTTGATTTCATCATTGTGACATTTTGGATGTCCTTGGTGCACGAGTCGATGCCGATTTTCGCGTGGATGTCCCCTCCGTGTTCGAGGATCCACTGGGTCACGTGGACGTAGCCGCAGTGCGCCGCGTAATAAAGGGCGCACCTGCCGATCTTATCCGAGGCGTTCACGTCGGCGCCCTTCGCGTAGAGCTGGTCCAACAGGTCGATCCTTCCTTGCCACGCGGCCACATGTAAGGCTGTCACTTTGAGCGGACCCACCGGGTGAATGTATTTATTTTCAGTGTCACGCGCCAAGATCTTGCTCGCCAGGTCGAACTCGCCTCTCGCGATCGCCGATACGAGCGCGACGTCATCCGAATTGTGAGCCCTTATCGAGGCCTCCATGAACTTTTGCGTCTCGAACGGCATTTTCGTTTCGCTCGATCCTCCCTCACGGTACTTCGCGAACAACTGGAGCACGTAATTAGCGCGAGCTGCCTCTAACACCTCGTTATCAAGCGGAAATAACGCAGAAGGATGCTTGCGGTCGCGCTCTTTATCCCCGAGACGATCCTGCTTTAATATCGCGTTAATTTGCGTGCAGCTCGCGAATATCTAATTGACATGTAATTATACGGACTCTGATTTTCAAACGTTCACTGTTTACATAGCTGCTATTAGCGGATAAACATCTCGCATATTCGTATTAACGTGCGCAGTCCGCGTGCGCGGGCGGACACGCGAGCGCGTATGTACATTACGAAAAGTAAAGACTGCAAGCGCGCACGTTGAAATTTTTACGCACAGTAGCGAACTACTGGGCGGATATTTGTAATCCCGTTAAAATAAATTCCAAAATTCACAACGCGGCATTTTCCGCATCGCCCTCTGGCTACGCGGCGTAGCCCCGACCTAAATTCCGATAATTAATTAATTTCGTGGGTATCGCGTTGCAGTTTTATGAGTAAATACCTTCGGAGCTCCCGCGCGCGCGGGTCGTGCATTCCGCATACTCGATACCGCTTCCGTTATTCGCGCATAACCAACTATCGATCTGAATGCTCATCATCAACCGCGTCTCGTTGTGTCTCTAGCCGGTCGCAGTTTTGATCACGAATTTCTCTCCACAATAGCTAACGGGATTAATCTAGCGCGTCCGAAGAAAGTAACGAACGCGTCGAACGAAGCCAACCTCGAGCCCATCCGTTAGCGGTCGGAAATCTGGTACACCTACAGGGTGTCTCGGCGATCCTCCGAGCTACCTCGTCGGCGAATTTCCCCGCGCTGCTCGTAATCAATGAGCCGTGCTCGGCGGACCGTTAGATACGAGCAGCGTCGCGGCGATGGTGTGCTTCCGCTCGGGCCGAAAATGTCCCTCGTGGAATTCGTAGACGAGAACTGGCGCCAGGTGCCCGAGAGAGACACCTTGTATATGTACACGCGGGCACAGGTACGCGCTCGCTCGCACACACCGAGTTGCATAACGACGAAGCAGGTAACATTTGTCCCGGCGTGCTTAAGCACACGCGGCCACGCTCGGCCTCTCCGTACTCGTGCAGCCTTAACACACGTTCACACGCTCAATCAACTGGAGAGCGTCGCGTTACCTTGCCGGGCTCTCTCAGGGCCAGTACGCGTCTGACCACGCTGCCGAGAGCATCTTTCCGTCAGTTGCACGCACAGCGTCGAATAGGAGCCGGTTCCGCCGCACGTCATAGCAGAGATGCCGAATTGCCCCAAGTGCGACAAGCCTGTGTATTTCGGTAAGAGTGGCGAAACTGAACATTTGCTCCGTTGAGATTTTCGATGTCACCGATACGACCCGAGTCCAAATTTTACTCCTACTTTAAGTCTAACTTCATTCTATACTGAGTGTCCAAAAATCTTCCGTTGTCTTCCTTTGATGCAGCAAGTGACAACTTATTACCGTTTCCTCCATTTGAAAACTTAATGTAGAATTTATTAAATTTCGACTCTGGAAGGCGCTTGACTTATCAAGCGTCGCGAATCGTCGCGATTAAAGGCCGTTCTCTTGCTTGTCCGCGGCATTGAAACAGTTTAGACTCGTCGAAATTATTCCGAATAGACCTTGATTCGCACGTCGATTATGTTTCCCGCACTCCGAGTTCCTCGTTACATCATGTTCGTTTATTCATGTGGCAAAAGAGTAACAAACGGTGGAGGTGATGCAATCTTACTCGTTAAAAATATTTATTCGCGATAACGCGAAAAGTTATTTATATTGCTTTGGTCAAACGGTTAGGAGGGATTACGGAATAATATCTTGTATTGTTAAAACGACCATCGTGACTCGCGGTTATGTAAAACGCTTACGTCATGCGTTCGGAAAGGAAAAACGATTAAGAACGCGCGGAATATATAATAACTATGTGAAACTATATTTCTTTATTATCAGTCTCGTTTCCCCGGAAGACACGATGGGTGTTACATTTGATAAACGGGACATAATCTCAGCGAGAGCTGCTGTGCGATATCGCAGCATTGGAGTATGTCATCTTTGTATTTCACAGCTCTTCGGCATTTCAAGTACGCGTATTAACGACCAATGTAATGGAACGATCTTCCCGCGGTTCCCTCTTTGCGTGCCCGGGCTCGTGAGACTCGAATCGCTCGAGAAAGGCGAATACGATATCTCAGACGAACATAAATATATACTCGAACTGGTAAATCCGCGGTGACGACATCAATGATATCATTGAACGACCTTGAGTTCCGTCTCGGCAAATATTATGTCAGTTTATTTTGCCGTGTACAGGTTCGAACCTTACTACGAGCGGAGTGAATGAGTAATCCACTCGGTCTCTCCGCATAAACTCAATCTGTACTCGTGACAAAAACATACCTGCACGCGCGCGAACGAGAGAGAGAGACAGAGAGAGGTCGCCACGGTTTTCAATAAAATTAAACATATACGATGCATCGTAATGTCGCCTTTCCAAACGCCGTTCCATTCGCGATGTTCCACCAACGCGGGCTGCGTTTCAGCTTTGCACTTGGAAAACCGGCCGACCGTTATCGAACGACGTTTCTCGAAAAACAAGGAAACGACCTCGAGACCTCCTTAAAAATATATCTTGGTATTGCACGCACGCGTTGTAACTCGTATCGTAATGTAGTACTCGGCGAAACGAACGATAACGTTATCTGTAACGTCGGCCAAGTATTTCAAGTACGCATTGGCAGTCGTGTGTCCGGTCGTATATAAACAATGTAGATAGATAACCCCGCGTTTTGTCGTGGCGCTCTTATTGCGTTTCCGAATTTCAAAATTGGCGCGTTCAGAAGAGGAAAAGGAAGAAAAAGGGGGGGGGGCGGATCTCCCTTCGTTCCGTTAACAAATAAAGCGAAGACTAAAAGGATGAACGCGCGCGGGAGTTTCGCATTCGGTCGTACGTATTTTTTAATTGAGCCCTTCCCGCTTCGCGCAGCGCTCGTTTAAAGCCCGTTAATGCCATCGGGCTGACTACGTGTTTTTGATGCGGCACGAATAAGCGCGCAGGGTGAATGTCATAACGACGGGCCGGAGAATGGAGACACTCCCTTTCCGTGTAAAATGCACGGAAACCCGCGAGTCATCGAGCCGAACTCTTTAACGCGCGTTTAGCGTCGAAGTTACACTCGCGTGTCTATATTTGCTCGGTAACTTTACGATTTTTTTTTTTTACTGCGTGTATCAAAGGCGAGAGCGCACACGATGATCGAACGATTGACCTGAAAAACATGCGAGCCGTTGCATTCGCGAGTGCACGCGTAACTCGCGCATTAATTCCGCGCGCGCACACATACGCGCATATGTCTCGCCGACGAAATGTATCACTCGCGTATGCCACCTCGAGGAAACCGGGGAAAAAAGCGGGATCGAGAATAATCGCGACTCGGGACGCGGGGCGGTCGGGAGGGAAACCGCGTCTCGGGGCGAAGTCGCGTTGCAACAACAATAAAGTGTCCGGCCGCGAGGACGACAACAAAGGAGACGTAGCCGGTGTATCGCGCGGGTACTAATAAGAAGAACACAGATGCGAAACAGGTTTGCAGAAGAATGGCCAGGTCTCGTGGTAGTACGGAAAGGTAGAAGGAGGAGGAACCACGGGGAGGCGAGAGGAGAGAAGAGGAGAGGACAGGCGGCCGTTTCCCGCCGCCCCCGCAGCGGGCGCATGAGAGAGGACGCGAGATCGAGGGGTTTTCTCGGGGCCGCGAAGGGGGCAGCGGCCGCGAGGGGAGGCGCGATGGTTTGCAGACGGTGGTTTGAAAGAAGCGAGCGAGCGAGCGGAGCGGGATGGCCTGACGTGGGTGAGGGGCCGCGGAGCGAAGGCGGCAGGAGATGATCTCCGTCGACGAGGAGGAAAAAGAGAAAAGAGAGAGAAAAAGAGCACGAGGAACGACGGGCGAGGGGATTGGCAGGAGAGGGTAGGGGGATGATGTTCCGAGGGCCTATGCAATCAGCAGGCGGCGGCCGATTGTTTGGCGGCCGGGCGCAACGATTCGTGCTCACGGCACTGTCTCTGCCTTTTTCGCGCGCTGCCGGTGCGCAGCGGCGAATGCTGACGATTATGCACTCGCTTCTCCGTCGTCAGATAATTAGGAGTTAATTAACTAATGGCCCTTTATACGCGTACCCTTCTTACCAGCGAAACACCGAGAGCTCTCTCTCTCTTTCTCTTTCGTCTTCCCATTTTGCTCGCTCACCTTCTCTCATACGCGTCGCACATCCCCTCATTCCCTTGCCGCATCTCGCTTTCACCGATGCACCCTTTCCTTCCCGATGCATCCACTACGCTCGTCTCGTCATTTTCCAATTTCCCTCACTGGCGCTACCGCTCTCTTTGTGCTCCTTCTTAGACACGGTGGAGCGTTTGAATGCAACCACCAGCCCGCTCTGCGGTTCTTGCCTTTCTTCCTTCTTTTTTTCTTCCTCTCTCTCTCTCTCTCTCTCTTTTTTTTTGTCTCCCCCGCGAGGTTTGATACGCCGTAATGGCATGATGCACCACCACGACAACGCAACGGAGGAAAAGAATGTATGTAGTCGCGGTCTCTGGTTTTCGCGAGCTTTTTTGCCGGGTCGCTTGGATACGTACGAGCTATAGCCTCGAATAATGGCATTAGAAGGCAATGAAACGGGAAGTTACGGTGATACGACTAAGCGGCGAAAACTGTGCTACACTCACGGCATAGTTTCGTCGTGTAGTCGATAACAGCCGGCGTATCTCACAAGCAGAAATGTATTTTTACCATTGTGCTTAATCTTATCTAGACAAGTGTATCGAAGATTGCCAATGAAGTAGATGAATTTTTCCTCGCTTCAACAGCTATCGAGAACCGGTTGTATCTGAAACTATTTAAAATCATTAACGACTCGAGATAAATTCGCAATCGAACAATATAGAGCGAGTTTTAGAAAGAAACTTGAATTTCTCGGCAAGACATTAAAATCCTCAGTGTTCCGAAAAATACGAAACGATTCTGTGCCCGTTTCGCGCGACGGCGTCTTTCTCGCGCATGCATCTCGATGCAAATTTCCACAAATGCATCTGGGGATTATCACACCGAACCGACGTACATAATACGCCGCGTATGCCGGAGAGGTGTGAGAATCTTTTTTTCCGCGAAATCTCTGTCGATGGCGCGATGTCTTTCACGCGCCCGGAGGACGTTTCGCGTTCCGCGCCTTTAATGAATGACAGTATGCTGATTGAATCCATCGGGACCCTGGCATTGGATTTTCTAATTACGAAATTGCTAATGGAATGCCTTCTCACAGCCGGTATCTGCTGATGCAACGGCGCGTTCGACCCACATGGGGTTCGCTCTTCCCCTTCGGTCGAGTCGCTGAGAACAATCGACATCCGAGCGGTATAATATCGTTAAGTAGAATCGCACACAGTCCTTCCCGAAGTAAAAATATTACTCTCGCCACATTTCCCCGTGCTTTTCCGGATCTCACCTTGCTTCATTCTATTTCAAGCGTCGCTCGGCCGCCAAGTCCACCGCTGTCTCACGATTCTCCTCACATTAACATGTATGCCCGCTAATTACTGTCTCCTTCGCAGATCATATACGCACCGGCGGACGCGCGCACGAAATGCGACAGACGAATACCGCGATTACCATAGGAGAACATAAAATTTAACGCCGGCAAAGCGCCGACTAGTTTCGCACCGCTCGCGCCGCGGTGCACCGCCTTTCACGTCAGCGCGCCGCGCGCGTTAACATTCATCTTGTGTTGCAGCCGAGAGGAAGACGTCCTTAGGCAAAGATTGGCACGGTTCGTGTTTACGCTGCGAGAAATGCAATAAGACCCTAACACCCGGGAGTCATGCCGAGCACGAAGGGAAACCTTACTGCAATCACCCTTGCTATTCAGCCCTGTTCGGTCCAGGAGGTAAATGGGAATCTTCGCCGAGTCGAGCGCTGCGCCTCGTTTCCTCTAAAACTGCTTCGTATTCAGTACCGTTCGCGGAACACCGTCGATCCGCATTTAATATATATTCAATTAATGTGTGCCGTCCCTCTTTGTGTAACTCCATTCGTCTGTACGCGTGTTCCATTGCATTTGATATTTTCGTTCCGTTTTTCCTCGTCTATTCTTTCCTCGCTATTCAGATCGCAGCGCTTCCAATGCGAAGGGACTCGCACGATAAGATAATCACTGTGATTGCAGGTTTCGGACGCGGTGGTGCTGAGAGTTACGTCTACAATAAGTAAAAATTGCTTATGCGCTTAAGGCAATCGTACAATCTCGAACGCAACGTCGTTCGATTAATTATAATATTCTAATTGTATATTATAATATTATATATATATATTATAATTATACAATTATAATAGTATAAATTATAATTATAAGGGAAACAAACATTCCGTCTATTTATATACATATGTACTTAAAAATGTGTCTATTTTCTACAAAATGTTCTAGAAGTGTGTACATTATTAAATGCAATAACGATTCTTCATGAGGAAAATCATTTTGCTTCGTGTCGATATTACACTTGTACCGTTTGCATCCAATCCTCGTCCAGCTGATGGAATTCGAGTATCGTAGATGGATAATACAGGTAGTGTAGATTACATTCCTTTCTACGCGGCACATCAAACGATGCGCCGATAAAAGAGAGACCGCGCATTCTCGCCTGGAGATACATTGCCGTCGGATTCCAATCGACAGCCCGGTCATCCAATAGTGCACGTGGCTGCGACCAGATGCCGCAAAGTGCACCTCTCCCGTCCGCGAATATTTAATGAGCCTCCGTGTTATAATTTTAATCAACCGAATACAACGTGCGTTAAAACTGCGTCTTTCATGTCGTACTATAGATAGCTTTGATAAGAGATTAATCTCACTGTTATTACTGTATTCAGGTATTATATCTTCTTCTCTAACTCCGTCTTATCGCGATAAAAGCATGCCGATGCTTGATTGATTTACTGATTAACTTAATGTCATTTTATTGTAATGCAAGAGGAAGAGAGGTGTGGAAAGTGATCTTAAATATCTCTCCAAACTTCTTCACTCGATATCTGGACGATTTGTAAATCGAGGATAAATCGCTTCTTGACAAGAAAGGACACTTCCAGCATTGTTCCCTTTTTTCAGAATACTTTTGCGGATGCTCAACTTCTACAGCGTATTATGTTGTTGAAGTGTTTAGTTTTTGCTCTCTGTTACGTTCAATCTTATTATCACGTTCCATGCCAGGCTGATTTTCGGTTGGACTTTCCACCACACCGCGTGAGCCGTACACGCTCCACAATGTAATAATTGCACGATATAATAATTATACGTGATGTTTAAATATACAGAAGCATCGATATACGATTTTACAAAATATTTTATGATAACGTTACATTTAATAGCGAAAACATTAACACAGTCTGAACGGAAAGTTCAGAACGGAGCATGTGCGACCAGCACAGCAAGGAATAATCTATTAATTAATTTGGTCTTATTAATTTAATAACCGATTGTATTTGTTGCGGCATGCGTAAGGAGAAATGAGGAACTGCGGGAAATCAGAGATATCGAGGGAAAGAGTTCATATAAACCTCATATTTATTTAAAAAGGATGTACAGAGTTCTGTTTGCAAGTATCAACAGCGAGACTCGGCAAGAGCGGCGCACGGAACAAGAATATCACACGGGACAAACGATGAAATAAAATGAGATAATCGTGTGTGTGTGTGTGTGTGTGTGTGTGTAAGTGTGTAAGTGTGTATGTGCTCAGTTAAAAATGCGCGGCCGCGGCGTTCGAGCAGTCGATATCTCGCGAATTCGCGACTCGCGCGGACGATTTCTACTTCCCATCATTTCGCCCCATCGCTCGGAACGCCGCGCACAGTCGTTTTTTCTCTTCGTGTCTTTTTTTCCGCATTCAATTCCGTATTAATAATCGTGCTTCATCGACTGCTCTCCCTCCTACGGAGAGGCTATAAAATGTTTTCACTGCAATATTGCTCTCTCAACGGGTTCTTTGGCAAAACTTATTACACATAGGTCGTCGTTACAATTAATAAATAATAAAGGCATTAAATAATAATATATAATAATGTGTGTGTGATGATGATAATAATAATAATAATATAATAATATAATAATAATAAAATAATCGTGTGATAATGAAAATAGCGAAAATAGCAAATAGAATAAGAATTAATAATCAGCGTCATTGCTACAATAGTAATAAAATAACAATGTATAAGTACGCAATAATATCGATTGTAGTCGCTGGATAATCGTGCCGAACATCCGACGCAATGATCCGGCCGACGGTTTTTTGGCCAATTGTTAATAACAACCAACGTGTATCTCGTGCATGCACGCGCTGGATATCGCTTCTCGGCCTGCTTCTTCGAAAGTAATCGCGCCTTTCGATTGCACACACGCGTTATCGCATTGCGCGCATTGTGTCGCAAATGCTGCCGTGATTCGCGTCCCGATCGGCAATTTCGTGATTTCACCGGCAATCGCGCTAACTTGATCCTTACGATAGAACTTGAACGAAGGCGTGAGTTGCTACAGAGCGTAATGCAGACGGCGGAGACGAAATGTTCGATCCTCGCGACTAATGATACGGTCTAATTATCGGACGAGTGACGATCGACACGGACGGAACATCGCGCGAGAGTTTCGGGAATTTGGCCAATTATTAGCTGGAATCAGTGACGACAATCTGGACGCTTCTCGCGAGCACGCTTCGGATCGACGCTTCCGACTGATTTAGGCGTCGCGATAGAGAATAAGACCAAGAGAGAGTAGAGTAGAGAGAGAGAGAGAGAGAGAGAAAAGTGGGCGGGCTAACCAGAGTCGATTAGATCTAAACGTAGTTGCAGACGCGTAAATATTTATACAATAACCGTAAGAATCAACAAACCAACGCCAGACGTTTCGGTCCACTTCGGACCCTCCGTAACGGTCCGTTGCAGGAGTGTTTTGCGTTCACGGCATTCGATGTTACAACACGTTCCACGTACGCGTCTCTAGGATTTCGAATGTGAATAGAAACCGTCGGGACTCGAGTATCGCGTTGCCGTTTTCGTTCTGCAGCCTCATTCCGGCGGGCGGGCAACCAGCCGGCTGGCTGGGTAGATTCGCTACGCATGAAATTGGCAGCGCGTGCCGAGGCATCAATGATTAACGCGATTGTTAAATCGGAGAACGCGCCCGCGCGTCCTACGTGTGTGCGCGCGCGAGTGAGCGAACGTAATTTCTCATTAAAAATCCCGCCGAGGCCCGGCCGCGCTAATTGCGCCTCCGCGATAATCTCGCAGCGGCGCGTTCCGCCCGACGGTGAGCGGGAAGCGGCACGGCTTCCGCCGCGAAGCGGAAGCGCGGAGCGAAGGCGTCGAACGGAACCGGGAGAACGAGCGTGATCGCCGGGCCGTCGAGGAAGTGTCCACGCGCCGACTTGCGCTAATTGCACGAATAACAGAGACGGAGAGAGAGAGAGAGAGAGAGAACGTTGCCCAACGGTGCTCCGATAAATCCGACCTGGCTCGCGATCGCGGCGCGACTCTCGGTACTTACCTCGCAACGGACATGGCTGCGTTCGAAATTAAAACGTCGTTAAGTAGAAAGCACGGGTGAAAATGAGGACTCCTCCGAGGCTAACGAGTTTCTTTTTCCCTTTCCTCTTTTCGTTTGTCTTTATTTTGCTCTGGCCGCAACGTCCCTCCGAAGTGTAACGTTCGTCGTGATGTTCGTCGTCGATCCTACACGCCGCTCGCGATCACGCATTTGCCTATCCGCGTTGAAGAGACGCCGCTCAAAACCGAAGTATCGCGCCTATGGTGCGCGACGTGCCTCGTTCGCCCGACGATCCGCGTCGTATGTCGTGTACGTGTCGGGTGCGTGCGTGAGTGCGTATGCGTGCTCGCGTGCGTATGCGTGTGGGAGGTGTGTTCGTATGTGTGTGTAAAATGTATGTGTGGGTTCCTCTGGGTTTTATACTCGCGCGTATGGTCTTTGGTTTCTACAAAAAATATATATAATATCCTTAACAGTAGTGATCGTTACGTCGACTCCTGATTTAAAAATCTCAAACTTNGGGGGGGGGGGGGCGTCGTGCCTACGGGAGAGAAAAACGTGCCATCGGGGCGCTTGACTTTTATTACACGGGCTATATATATTTATATATATATATATATATATATATACATCCACATTATGTATATAACTATGTATATTATATATATAATTTGTCCACACATATATATATAACATATATAATTATATATATGATATTACATATATATATATATTTTTTCCTTGTTCTTATTTATATATATTCAATTTATATATATTTACATGGTCGCGCGCCGACTGCGCTCGCCTCGGCGAGCGCGCACGCGCGCGAATGCCGCGTGCGCGCTCCCCGACTAGGCGGCTTCGCGGCACGCGTCAGCGCGCCACGCTCGCGAGGGCGGTCGCGACCATCGCGTGAAAATTACGCTAACTGAGGATCATTAAATTAAACTACCTACCGGCGCGCGCTCAGCAAGAAGAGCGGCGGCGCCGTTCCCCGACGCGCGGCCGGCTCTCTCTCGGAGTCGGTCCGCCGGTGGTGATGATGGTGATGATGGTCTCTCTCTCTTCGGATCACAGCAAATAAATAAAACGCAGAGAGGCGAGACGCGTGATAATATCGGGGAAACGGCGCGATGCCGCGCCGTCGAGTTCTCACGTACGCTCTTGCGCGTCGTGCGAGCGCAACCCTTATTAGCTCGTCGTCAGCGCGATCTTCGAACCCCGCGGCCTGTGTCGTCCACCACCCTGAGAGCGCGACCGAGTTCGCAAGCCCGAGAGCGCGCGTCCACTCCTGGAATCTTTTCAAAGTTCCCCCCGGAGATTGATCACTGATCCAGCGGTTCGTCGGCGCGGAGAACGGGTTGTCCCACGATCTTCGCCGCCAAATCCTCCCCGGCACGGTTACGTCGCCACGGCCGCCGGTGAGCGGCCCCGCGCGCTCCCGCCGAGAACGGGACTTCCCAGAGCGGTTGGGAAGGAGATCATTGCTTTATTTCGACGTGGTGTCTCTTCGTGATATGGCGTCCGTTGTCGCAGCCGGCTAGCCCGCTCGTGCCCACTGACGGATATTCAGCCGCCGGCGGCCGTTCCCCCGTGCGATTGTTACCGGTTGACCATCAAGCCAGGTAGAGGTCCGTCGGCGTGGAGGTGTGGTCCGGCTTCGTGCAGGCGCTTCCGGTCGGCGAGGCCGCGCTGGCACCGCTGCTGGCTCTGGTGGCCGCCAGAGGCGAGCGACTGGCCACGTCGGCGCTGCTCTCCGGACCACCGCTGCTGCACCCGCCGCCCTGCTGCGACGTGTGGGTGGACGTGTCCCCGTTGCAGTAGTAGTACGTGGAGTCTGCAATGAGAGAGGAAACGGTCGCGTTCATCGCGGGCGGAGAGTCTTGCGGGCTATCCCGCGTGTACGATTCATATACCCTGCTTAACGTCGCGCTCCTTCTCGAGTCCGCGTGCCGCGCGGACGATCAATATGGCTAATTCGGCGAATCTATAGCTCGCCTGGGCAGAATTCAGCGGGAGAATTCGTCAACTTGCTTGCAGGACGAATCCACCTTTGCTGATATTGTCTTGCTTATACGTGGCAATCGAATAATTTGGCCACCGCGTTTTTTTCGCGACCGAAAATCTAAAAGAAACACCTACTCTAATCAGAGTTACTTGACAAACATTTTTCCGTCTGTGTTATCAACTGTAACTAAATGCGTTAATGTACGAGGCTTCCTTTTGATAAAACAATAAATAGGATCGTTTATCCCAGCAAATATGTTTTATCGCACGTTCATATTCAATAATATTCTCCATTATCTGCGTATAGAATCGTCTGTATTGCGTTAACGAGACAGCCGTGATATATCAAAATTTCTCAGGTAAACAATCACTAATCTTACGCGCATCCGCCGAGACTTGGTTCACCACGACGCATAAAATATCTCCCTGTATTACGGCTATAGATTTGCCGAATTGGCGAGATTCTCAGTCGCAACAGCAAATCTTTTCCCCTTCCCGCGACAACGGCGCGTGTCCGAGCCGAAAGGGGCGCATTTACGTCGCGCGCAATTCGTAACGTTGCAGGCGTTTTCGCCGCGCGACTGCGTTCTCGCCGCGCGAAATAAAGGAGGGGGAAAAAAAAACCAACGGAATAAATCGTGCTCTGCCGCGAGGTGCGCCTATCTAATTTTCGCGTTTAATTATAGCAACTCTCGCGCAACGCTCGCGTGGAATATCAAGAACGCGGCGGAATAAGTTGCCCGCGCGGAAGGGAGGAGGATATTGCGTTGCGATATCGCGAACGGATCTCCGCGCATTACGTGACGCAAGGAGCGCACGGGTCGGCAACGTATCGCGTGTCCGATAGGGAACAAAAAAAAAAGAACAGCGGTTTATTATTCTATTCGTTTCTCCGCGCGCACCCGCGAGCTCTCGTCTACGCGCGGGTCGACGGCGGGGGGAATATATCGCGCGCGCGGTGCCGATCTTACGTTATGAAAGATAGGCGTTGGATCGCGCGCCGCTATATTAGAAAACCGGACCGAGAATGAACGACGTGACTCCTTGCGGAACTAGTCCGATGTTATCTGATACACGAGTCGAATTGTGAGCCGCGTTAACGAGGAACGGCCGGCCGGGGAAGCGAGAGGGTCCTGCCCGGGAATTGTGTCCGCGCCACGGCTCACGCGAGCGTAACCGCGAATAAAGTTCTTCTTTTCTTTTTCTTGCCGACCGTATCTTCGAGTAACGCGCGTAACTTCCGCGGCGAGGTAAAGAACAGACGGCCGGCTTTCGCGCGCGCGTTTCGCACGCGTTTTGAGAACGCGCAGAATACGGGCCGGTTTTTCCATTTGCACGTCGTTGTCAACGGCTTTCGGCGGCATGTCGAGTCGGTCGGTCGGTCTCTTCCTCTCTCTCTCTCTCTCTCTCTGTTAGTGCTTTCGTATTTCGATGACCCTAATCTAATCGGTACTCATACTCACTGTTTACTTACTGAGCAACCCGCTTGTCGCCGCCCCATAACCGTAGCCGCTGTACGGCGCGCTCGAGTACTGGGAATACGCAGCGCTGTACGCGTAATCGCCACCACCTGAACAAAAGTCGACGATAAGCTGGTTAGCGCTGCTGCTGACACTGCGTCGTCCACTAACGCGCCGGCCACGCTTAACGTGTGCGTCACGTTAATGTCTCAATGAATTATCGGCGAACTGGTCCTGCAGGTGCGCCCGCGCGCGAGAGAGCGCGCGAGCATAAACGGGCAAATCGGGGCGACTCGCATTAATTTCGACTCCGCAGACCGATTAACAACAACCGGACTCGCGACAGCGCTTATCGCCGCCCACCGAGACGATGATTGGGGGTTCGTTCTCGTGATTAATTCTACACAGAGTCTGGCCGGTCGAGAAACGACAACGACAATTCTCCTCTGTGCTCTCTCTTTTCTTCATTTTATTATACTTTTTTTACTTATTTATTTGGCTTTCCCGGTCGGAGAGAGAAGTCGTTCGCGAAGAAATCGCGAGCACAGACTTGCCGGCACGGGTCTAAGACCTTGCGCGTTCACGATGCTGGGCCGGATGTAAAAGTTACTAGAATTACTGGAAATTCCGGTACCTTTCGACGTATCTACTTCGGCGTAAATACTGGATCTCGGTCCGAGACTCAGCATCGTGGAGGCAAAAGCCTAAGGTCCGTATTCGGGACGTACACACAACACGATGTCAGCGCGCTAACGAGTCGAGAGATGTGAGGATTCTCAGTATTCGCGGTGATTCCGGTGTGCTCTGTTGGGAAAAATCGATAATCACGCGTGTTTACAGCAAAATCCTTGTTCAGAGTGACTAATAAGTTGACTCGTTAGCATGCTAACATCGTTACACGTCCGTTCTGAATACGGGCCTTATCCTGCAAATCGCACGTGTGAGGGATCAATGTTCCGATTGCACACACGTCGGCTAAGGATAACATCGTCCGTGGTAACCTCCATTGGTACGCGTCTCCGACGAATACGAGGCGGCCTCCCCGCTAAAATTGCCACCTGCTCGGACCGGTAAATCAGCGCTCTTCGACAGAGCTCTGACTTACCCTCCGACTGTACGCCGGCTCCGGTACAACCCCCGGAGGGTACACGAAGCGAGCGGGCGAGCGCGTGTCCTTGTACGGTTAAGCAAGCTTTCTGGTTGGTACTCACCGGTAGCGTAGTGTCCGAAACTTGGTAGCATCGTCGAGTACGGCGGTATCGCAGAGGCTACCTGGGGCTGAGAAACTGGCGGCTGCAAGACCGTCAGTCCGGGATCCCCTCCGGAGGTATTGGGGGCCGCGGGGGTGGCGTTTGTCTCGTTCTGCAACGAAATCGGGGGACTTTGCTCGCCCCCACCGGCCCCCACCCCTACATACGATACTGCGACGGTACTGCTCTCTGCTATGGCCATGCACAACACAACACGACATTCGAGTCAAGCACTAGCTAACGATCAGCGCCTTACGTCTAAAGCTTAATTAAACTGTTTCGGTGGGAGTAGTCCAGAGGGGGGGGGGGAATCGGGGGAGAGTCTGGCTCTTAACCGCCGCGGAATTATGCATCCCGCGAATGCAACGGAGTTGTTCCACGTCCGAGCCTTTTCCGATTTCCCTTCCGGTTTCTTTTCGCTAAATTTATTTATCCCGAATTAGCGTGGAATTTCGAGTCGAGAGACGCGGCTCTGTCGTCAGGGAGGACAATCGCATAGCCCCCAGGGTCGCGTCGCCGACGCGCTCTAGCTTCGAGCGAGTGAAAAACAGCGTGTGATGAAGTAATAGAAAAAAAAGAAAAACGAATGCTATTATCTTTTTGCGCGCCGGAGCGAACACGTTCCGCAAGTGCAAGTTTTTGGCTCGTCGGACATAAAGTAAGTAAGTGGCTATCATGGGTAATGGGAGGATCCTCATGGGTAGCGGGAAGACACCGCGCTTGATCTCGCGGTAAAGTTAACACCATGAACACTCGACGTGGTAGTACACACTTGAGATGTGGACATATTAGTTGGACACGCGCATCCGAGAGAGGCTCAAAACCGTATGGCTCAGCGGAACAGGTGTACATGACTCGGCGCGACCGTAAGAGAACTAAAGAGGTGGCGAACTCACCGGTGGTGTGGTAAGGAGACATGTTAGCCCCGTCCAATGTTTGGCTCAATTTTAGTTCTTGCATCGTCAGTGGCGCGAGCGGCGTCAAAGTACCACCTGCTATTAAGGGATCCCCATTTTTCCGTTATTGCGGTTCTCGTATCATCGGCCGACGATCAAGGCGGAACGTGGAAACCGTCGCGAGGAAAACGCGCGCTCTCTCTTTTCGTCCGAGGAATGAGAGAGTTCTTTCGCCGTGCAAGAATGATCGCCGCCCGCCGGACAACGGAGGAATATCCGTAGCGGCGTTGATTCGTCGCGTTCGCGGATACGTCGAACGGCAGATCGAAGACGAAGTACTCTTTCGCGTACGCTCGACCGGAGCGCCTTAGTCGCCGCGACACACTGCTACATATTAACGGCCGGGGGCAGCAAGCCGTGCGATCGACTTGGACCGCTTATGTCGTCCTTCAAAAATCCTTCGATCCGGGGCGAAGATCCTCGATTGAATTTCATGAGATGAAGCCGCCGTTACACGCCTCGCTTCGTCCATTCCGAAAAGCACCGATCGGGAGAATTCGCGGCGCGCGGCACGGCGTGACCGAGTTGCTCGCAACACGTGCCACCGGAGAAAGTTCCGCTCGTGTGTTGTGTGCACCGCATTCGGCGGTTACTTTTCAATAGCTCGTACCGTCTGTGTACGTTCCGCCGTTGATCGACCGCCTTTAAACGGCGCAAGAAAAGTAGAGAGCGAGATGAAGAGTAGAAGAGTGACGGAGGAGAAGAGATAGATCGATTTTTTTATTTATTTTGAGAAACAGAGAGAAATAGAACGTAATAATGTGAATATATATATATATATATATATATTTATATATACGTGATATGGAGATAAGCGAGAGACTTGAGTGAAAAAAAGATCCGCGAACAACAGATCCAGCTGATTATTATTCTGATAGAGGAAATAAGAGAGACACGGTTGAAGAGAGAATGAGATAGAAAGAGAGAGAGAGTGAAAGAAAGACGGTTGATAAAGAAGTGAAAGATGGTGTGAGAGAGAGTTATTCCCCGAAGCTGAAAACGCCGAACCACCGTGTGGAGCTTTCCGCCACCTCTTCTGCCGCTGCTTGGCACAGCTCATGCATTATTAAAGCCATGTATTTAGCCGATATGGGTATGCAAAGCAAGACGTAAGCCGCAATAATAAGCGTACTGGGAAGAGACGCAGGACGAGAGGAGGAAGAGGACATGAGAAAGAGAGTAAGAGAGAGAGAGAGAGAGAGAGATATTCGGTGGAACGGGGGTGAAGAGTGTAAGGATACGAAGGTGGATGGCAGGTCGGAGGAAAAGGACTCGGTATATGGCATTACGTACAAGAGGTTGTGGTGCACACACTGTCCGGGATTTCCGTGCGAGGGGAGGAAGGACAGAGAGAGAGAGAGAGAAAGCAAGAGGGGAACCACGCTGATGGGGATGAGAGAGGGTAAGAGTGGTGGTGGGTGCCGGAGGGTGAAAAGAGAAGGAACGAGCGCGCTCACCTATGGTGCCCCCTATGGGCGGGGTGTAGAGATGGGGAGTTTGCGCTTGCGTCATCGTGCTGATGGTGCCCAGGGAGTCGTACAGCTCGGCGGAGGTGGCAATAGCGTTCCCNGCCGCCGGCGGCGCTACCACCGCCGCCGCCGCCGCCGCCGCCGGTTCCGCCGCCGTTCGTGCCGCCGGTCGCACCGCCGCCTCCGCCGCCGAGCTCGCTCAGGAACTTGTGCTCGTCCTTGATGCTCCATTTACTCGACCACAGCTGCAACAGACCGGGGGAACCTGAAGTCGAAGTTCGCGAGTTGGAGGGACATCCGAGAACAAGCGCCAAGATTGACTTGGATGTTGTAGCTACGGCCCGATTCGGTTCCGCGATTACCGCAAGGGGCTGCTGCTCGAGAGTTATGGAGATTCTATGGAACTTTGCGTCGCTTTTGATTGATTACGGCGTTTCCATTGAGTTGTGCTCTCGGAGTCGCCGCGTTGACCCGCACCCGAGATTTCCCAGACTTCGGTCTCGATTATTCGCGCGGTAATGCGACTAGTTGAGCGATTAAATGCCCGCCTTCGCTAAGAAGTTACCCGGAACAGAACTTCTTTACCACTCGGTGGCTTACTTCTTCGCAAAGCCCAGCCGCTCGAGAAATGTCTCCGATACTCACGTTCGAGTAAAGCTGGTCGCCGTTGTAGTTGCTTCTCTGCCTCTTCAGGTCGTTCTCGGCGTGGTCGTTCAGGTCGCGATTGTCGTCTGTAACCGTTGAAAGATTCGCGTTAAAATCGACGAACGAATGAATCTTTTCGTTGATTCGGCTCGCGCGGCCGGAGTTTACATTCTCGTTCAACGACGATCCGTTGCCGTTTCCGGCTCGTTAGAGCGACGCGTAGAAACGAGCGTTTCGACGCATTTCGACGCAATCTCGAATTTCATAATTTCGAAAACACGGGAAAATGAATCGGCGACCGACGGACGGAGCATCGGCCGGCGCGATCGCACCAACACGGTCTCTCGTATTACCCACGAATCAAGACACAAATTAAACGTGGCCGGCCGAAACTAAATTGGAATCTGTCGAGTGGACGCGCGGCGCGGTGCAGCGCGGCTCGCGCGCGTAGACGCCGTATGGCATTGATAGATAGAGAAACAATTTCGATTCCATTATATGTCTTTATTATCTCCCGGCCGTCCCGGCGGTTTAATATAGGAACAGGCACGTGGGACAAGAGTGTCGTTATTCCGCTACGTCGGGGGGTGGGCACCGCGAACCCTTGCCCCGCGGAGGGGTGTGGAGCGAGGTCGAGGACGGAACCGACCGGTGAAAGGACCGCACGCGCGCGCACGCACACACAAAGCTCGCCGAGGGGGACAGAGTACGGACGTAACGTCGCTGGTGGGGGTGGATGGTCCAACGTTCGGGGTATCTCGAATAATTAAATGACCATCCGGGGGCGGGGTGGGCGGGGGTGCGCCTAGCATAGGGCTCGTTAAACCTCCCTGTCAAGTTGTGATTGTCCGGCCGGCCGAGCGACGGTCCCGACCATTCGAGCGGCAGGGTTTGTTCCTGGACCACTATAAAATCCTCGTTTCAAACACGGCGCACACCGGCGGTGCGCGCTCTACCCTCTCGGTCCCGCTCGAATTTTACGATTCGATCGGCCGAGTTAATCGCGACCGCGGCGCACGAGCGTGCGCGCGCGCGCGCGTTATAGCACGGTTTTACTGGAGTTTAGGGCGCTTCCTGGGACGCCGTTCCACTTTGTAATCGGGGGTTATGCGAGTCGGATTTCGGCCGATGAGTTAGTAAAATCGACGACGACGACGACGACGACGACGGACGGGCTATCGCCCGGACCAGCAGCCAGCTTTTACTGCGCTTCACGTGGCCGTTCTTGTTTTTATTCGCGGATACGCGCCATCGAGCGCGTCCCTCGCCGGGTATATTTTTAAACATGGACATTGTCGCGCCGCGTGGAAATTTATATCGGATACACGGAAACATCGACGCCCCGCTGAAAATTCTGATGTTCGAAGTCCACTTCCTAGATTACGCGCGCGCGTCTCCGTGTCACGCCGACATCGACCGCGGTCGCGTTCAACGAGGCGTATTTTTATAATACAAAGCGAAGCCCGAGTCGAAATTTCGGCTTTATGTTGAGTCTTTAAGGGAATGCTACAGCCCCGTTGGCGAACTCGATAACGTAGAGACGATTCTCGAAATGTTACGTTACATAACACGACACATTCACACGATCACTATTGCTCTGTTTTTCGCTGATTTTTAATATGATATGAGCGTGAATAAGATGATTGCGCATCACTCTGTTTTACCATATTTACCGGGAAATCTAACCGAGATATATAAATAACTTTTTCTGCAAACTTTTTGTATCTTTTTTAGGCTTTTGTGCACAACTGAAAAGGTACCGAAATGTTCTACGAGATTTTCCTCATTGGTGCAAGTTGAAAAATTTTGGTTTCAGATAAGTGTTTACTTGACAGGTCGAGATTTCAGTTTTGAAATCTTTAATCATTTTCGTCACATATTGAACGATTCATTTTCGCACGTACTTTCGCTATGTAAAAGTATTTGTAATTCTGTCGCGCCACCAATAAGACGTAAACTTTGTAGGAAAAAATCGGTATTCTGTTGATAAAGTTTTCAAATATAGCATCCCCTTGATTCTACAACATAGTAGGAGCTAAGATAGCAAAATAAGCTTCAATTTAAATTCTAATAATACAATTGAACTCCTGTTTTGACCCCGATGATATCTTAAATCGCCGTTTTCGCTGTTTTAGCGTCAAAATAGGTTGTTGAAGGTAGCATTAAAATTCAATCTGTAGAATGAAAAGTTCAAGAGAGATGTTAGAAGGAGTGTCAGTATCGTCAAAGTAGGTGTTTATCAGTCTATATGCCGTCTAAATAGGCGCAGACTATCATTATGAACGTCGGAGTAGCATTTTCGACTCGCGGGCTTCGGCGTATCCAAGCGATCCGGGGCCGGTTCTCGACTCGTGTATGACAGCGAATGAATTATGTCGCGCGGAAGGAAGGTCAGCGCGTCCCCCTCCCGAAAAAGAGCAGTAAGTCGAATAATTCGATTGATGCTCGGGAGAGCAAAGCACGCGCTCGCGTTCTCTCCTCTTTTCTCTTCCCGCGTATATTCCTCTTCTCTCCTTCTATCTCTCTTTCTCCCTCTCTTGCGTTATTCGAAAGCAATTGAGTCAATGTTAAGCAATACAATACACGGGTAATAATGGACTTTGGGGCGAATCTGGCCCCGGCGTGTCCCCTACGTCCGAGGGACGCATAGGGTGGGACACGGCGGGCTCTGGGATTCTGCATGGGGCAAAAGCGCGCAGATGTAACGCGACAACAAACAGCCCCGATAGATTGCAATGCTTCCCTCGAGAGGCCGTTCGTAAATTCGTAATAAGCTCCGAGAACTTTTGGGCGCGGGTATGTCTTGGCCCGTTCGTCGAAGGCATAAATAATGGCCGACGAACGGCGCGCCGGGAGCGATTTTTCCCGACCGACGAGTCTCAAATCGCGGAGTGCCTCCGTGCGCGCGCTCCTTCGTTACTCGAATCGCCACCTTCTCTCTCTCCCTCTCCACCCCTTTTGTTCACGAAGACTCGTATCTTCGATACGTATCTCCTAACGAGATAATTGACCGGAGCGAGCACAGAGAGGTGGATCGCGCACGACCCGGTCGCGCGCAACATTTCCATCGTTGGCAAGTCCGAGGTAGAATCGATCGGGCTCTGTAACAGAGTTTTTCGAGCGGCTCCCCGGCCGGAGCGTTTCATTAAATTTGAGCACTTGCGGCCGGCTTTAACGCGACGCTCGGTCGATTTTTACCGTGCCGTCCGACGCATGGGACGCGAACGGAAGAGGAACGCTCTCTCCGTCTCTCTCGGTACGTCGGCGCTCCGTTCGTTGAAATTCCAGACAGTTAGGAGGAGGTATATACGTACGCGTATACGTACGTACACGTCGATGATCTCCCCGGAGGATAGGGAGGCTAATGTGTCGTCGGGGCCGCGAGATAGAAGCCGCCTGTGGTCTGTGAAGTTTATAATCTAATACGTGCACCCCTCCGCGCGCGCACTCGCAAAACATTGAGTGCTCTCGCCGCGGACGCGACCGCTTTTGCGGCCGCGTATCGCCGCTCTCATAATCCGATTATATCGAATTACCCGTGTACCCATCGGCACACCGCCGCGCGCCGCTCTCGCGTATACGAATCGATATATCTACGCCGCGAAACGAGCGCGCGCTCCCGGAATTTTGATCGCGCTTATGCGCGCGCGCTTTTCCCCGCCGCGTGTTTCCGTCGTTCGCGCGATTCAACATCGCTCGCGCGCGCGCACACACACACACACACACACACGCGGGGAATAGAATTACGCGGACGTTCCGCGGCATCACGACGATCGAGTTAGTCTAATCGCGACCGATGCGACGTCGCATCGGATAGACGACGCGGGAGAGCTTGATTGCGAGCGGAATCGCCCTTCGATTGCTTTGCACCTCGTGAAAGCGGCGAATCGAGAGATCCCGGGATCGACTGGCGAGCTCTCGTTCTCTCGTCGAAAAGCGGCCGCCGCTGCGCCGTCGTCGTCGGTCGCGTGGCCGCAGCACGTGTCAAGAATATTTCGGGCCGCGTTATTCACGCAACGACAGCAGAATGAATCGCAGCACGTGCTGGCCGACGTTTGACTGATAACCTTGCTGTATGTCTGGCTAATCTTGGTTCGCTCGGGGCTTAACGTGCGTGCCCCGATCTCTCTCGCAAATGAGCGCGCGGCCGGACCCACCGCGAAAAACGCGCTTTCGCCGATACCGAAATTCTTACGCTCCGGGCTAACCGTGCGTGTTCCTCTCTTACATCACGTTCACTTGATCGCACGTATACATATATGTTAACCCTTCGAGTGCCGCTTTGCTCTATAATGGTTCGGTTGAAAATATCGCGGAAATTTCAGCGAATATGAGAGCTTTCGAAAAAGATGCGGAAGATTTCAAGTATGGTTATCATTTCTCTTACTATGGAAAAAATGTTACCGTTCAAGCAATATTTACTTGATTCTAATAAAACGGTTTCTCCAATATTCATTGGTAAATATTTACTGGAGGTAGTAATATAATTGACTACATACAATATATTTCCTTCGTATAAGTAGATACTTATTTGCATGTGTTGCGACAATTGCGGCAAGCATTAAATTCACAGAATATTGACAACATCGAGTATAATTTATTTTTAGCAAATATATACTACTACAAAAAATTTGAATTTAGAATCACTAAGTTTCTTCAATAGAAAAGAGGTATTATGTAAATATTTTTTTTTCCATTTAGGATCACTTTACACTTACATTCAATAATTTATTTACATATTTACATATATTAAAGTATTATTAAGTATATACTGCAAGCTGTTAAAATATACTTAAATTGACAAAAATATTATCTGATTTAAGAAGTTGAAGAAAAAATAATTACGTTTATTTTTCTGCGTAATAACACACATATTGCAACAATTACCGTAATTTACACGATTAACGCTCTGAAGTCGGCTGACGTGCATTTGTACGCAGAACAGAATTCTAAAAAACACTGTTGCGTTCATAGCACTTTTTACTTATTTCACGAAGGCCTCGATTGCGCTCCATGGCGAAGGATTAATTGCCGTTGTAAGGAGCCGCTCTCTACTTTGCATTTCGTATGCACGAGAGTCTAATAGTCACGTCTAATCAGATATGCGTCTGTCATTGAGTCCGTAATCGAATCTCGTCCTGCTCCATTTTGTCTGTGCATGGCAGCCTCAATAGATGTTACAATCGAGCGGAATATAATTCACGGGTCTTTGTCCCGCGGCTAAATAAGCCGACGAAAATTCGGGATCCCCGACGGGAGGAGACAATGAGCGCGCACAAATTGACTCTGACGGTTCTCGCGACGTCACCGGTAGTATTAACGTCTGAGTTTTCGCGAAATTGTTCAACTTCTCTATTGTCCTCGTCTCTCCCCTCCCGCCTCCATCCTGCCCTGTGTAAACCGACTTGGCTCGTAGCGATTTGCTGGGCCGTGACGACGATGCAAATGTTGTATTTCTTACTTGGAACTTATATCGCGTTGCTGACTCCCATAAATGACGAGTTACCGTGGCGTTGCAGGATTCGCATTTGTATCAATAATTATACGATCCCCCAGCTATCGGAACGTTACGGGAAAGCTCGCCGGTATTCGACTTGTACACCTGCGTTATTAATAACGCGCTTCTTCCTCCTCCCCTCGTGACGCTCGTATGCTCGCAGTTACTCCCCCCNCCCCCCCCCCCGTTCCCGCTTCACGCCGAGATTTCTGCAAGTCCGCAATCGGATATCTCAACTAATGCGATCTCCGCTATCGATAATGAGCATCGAATTCAGTATTGAATAATGTTACACGATGACAGAGCGCGGCGCGGAGGAGGACGCGAACGAACGTGAAGCGGCGAGGGTCAGCGACACGAGTAAGCGCGCTCTCGGTGACTCACCGTCATCGCTGCGTTTCCTCTTGATGCTGTTGCCATTCGGATCCTGGTGGTGCACCGGGATGCCCAAGATGCCACTGATGCTGTAGGCGTTGGGAGCGGTGGCAGCGGGATGGCCTGCCGCCGTCGCAGGTGCATGTGCTATCACCGACACAGAACCGCCCGATCCCGGCTGACCTTGTTGCTGACCTTGCTGCTGCTGCGCCTGCTGTTGCTGATGCGCGTGCTTCGCCTTCTCCGCCGCCTTGTTCCTCACGATCCTGCGAACAATAGGTCAGGCATCGTGTAGCAAAATCGCCGCGTCACGTGAAACGTCTCCCATCTCCCTTCCCCCCTCTCTCTCTCTCTCTCTAGTACTCTCGATCTTTCGCGCCTCCTCGTCCTCTCTATTCCTCTTTTCCTCCCCTCTCTCTTCCTCTCTCCGGAATTAAAAGTCCGAGGAGATCACGCGGGGCCGGTAATAAATCGCGACGGCGTTCTGCCGATTCGGATCTCATTGAAAACGCTTTCGGCGTGTAGCCGCGCCGCGCAGATGCATCTGCCGCGCGCGGCCTCTCTGCGTATCTATTAATATACAGTGACTTCATAGCGCAACAATGGAGTGGCACAAAGTACCGATTGTTAATTCCAGGTCCGTCGGGCGCGGAGCGCGGTGCGCGTTCGAGATCGATGATGAGGCCTGGCATTGTTACGAGACAAGATCTTCCTGTTGAGCGCGGCGCGCTCTCTCGCAGGCTTGACTTTTCGAGCGGTGATAAACGGAGATCGGAGATACCGATCGATCAGCCGCGGATTACACGACCGCTAATTCGGTTTGCGTGGGCCGTCTAATGCGCGAAGCGTTTCAGGGCCGTGTAACGTATAAATCAAGCAACAGCTCGTTACATCTTATTTTTCATGAGGTAAAAATCTGCGTATTAAAGTGAGAGAGAGAGAGAGAAAGTATCCCTCCCTCCGGAAACGCGTGATCCCCTCGCCGCCTCGCAGCGCCGCTGCCAATGCGGAAGGAGAGGAGCCTCGAACGAGAGCTGCCTCGACAAAGGCGGCAACGATTGCTCATTCCAATTCCATCACGACCGATCATAAATTCCGACATCGCCGCTCGGAGAGCACAGCAGAGAGAGAGAGAGAGCGAGCGTCCGGCTCGTCGACGATAACCGGCGGAGCCGCCCTACGCGATACCGATCCGCGAGTCACGGGTTACACGATGATTAATTACGATTACGCGGGTCACTTCGCGCACGATCATTCTCCTCGGGCCCGACGTGTACCTGGCTGATACCCACCAACCTTCCCGCCTGCTTACCTGACCATCGCATGCATATACGCGTATACGTAGCGTCCGCGATCTCTCGCGTCAGCGCACGCATCCGAAGAGACGACGCGCGCGTCGCCGTTCCCCATTGTTCCGCGGACGACGGCGAGCGCCTTTCCTTCGGACACGGAACGGCGACGTGACTCTGCGGAACCGCGGGGCATCGCGCATCGCGCGGAGTGAGAGAAAGAGAGAGAGAGAGAGAGAGAGAGAGAGAAAAGCTCTCTCGACGGAGCAACGCGCGCACCACCTCGAGACTTCCCCTCGTCTCCCTCGCCAGCACGGGCGTGTGCGCGCACCGGCTGCTTATTATCCATGATATATTGCGCGCGCGGTTTCCAATGGTCAGCCGCTCCCCGACGTCGGTATCAATTATCCCGGCGAATATTCACGGCGGCGCGCTGTTAATCTCGCGCGACTCGCCGCGAAGTCGCGCGCGATCCGCGCGGCGCCGGCCGCGGGGCCTCGCCCGCTACGCCCTTTCGGCCTTGGATGATTTAACGTTGACTCTCTCTCTCTCTCTCTCTCTCGATCGGGCTTTTTGCCGTGTCACGCGGGGCCACCACACAACCGTCGCAACGCGCGCGACGTCCTCGTTGGAACGCGGTGAGATGAATCGGCCGAGCCCGTTTTCCGAGAGGCTCGTAACTCCGAGAATTCTTCCAGCCGCCGGCTGGAATCGCGCTGCGGATGAATTATCGGCGGCGGCCTCTAAATTTTCCCATGGATTCGCGGGGATCTCGGCTGCGCCTCGTGGCGTACTCCGGCCGTAAAGCCGTCCCGTTAATAAGTTTCTACCGGGAGGATAAAGTTGTCCGGCGAAAAAGGAGAAAAGGAAAAGGAGGAAAGAATTACGACGCGGAATAATCCGGAGGGAGGGAAGCGGAATTACGCGTCGCGTCGCGAGCCGCTCGCCGAGCCGTCGTACGTAACACGTAACGGACGTGCCGCACTTTTTCGACGTTCCGTCCTTTTCCGCCTCGTAATGCACTTTGGAACGCGTCAGGTCAACGATTCCTCGCCCGGCCGGGCCAGTACGTAATGGATCGACATTAAGTCCTTCGTTTCTGCCGTGGATGTGTTTGTGGGCTAGGTAATCGTGGGGGTGCGAGCAACGGCGATCAATCAGATGACACCTGTTGCCCAACCTCCCTCGTTCGTTCGCCACCTTCACCAATTCGCAACAATTAGCAGCGATCCTTATCAAGGTTAGACTCTCTAGGGTGGCCGGGGTACCAACGATCCTAAACCGACGAGTTATCGTGCGCGTCGCGCATCCCGCNCCCCCCCCCCATACGCGGCGGTTCCACACCTGCGATAAACCCCGACCGTTATCGCATCTCCCGATAGAGACCGACTCAATTAAGCCGCGATTATTCTCGCCGCCATTCCTCGTGCAAGTGCGACGTTTATTAACTAATTAATGCGTTTCGGTAATGTCGCTGCTGAAATTTCGATAAAAACCGAGTTTACTTTCTTAAGTCGAATCAGTGAGAATTTCACTGACTGAGTCAGTAAGACAGTATTGTACTGATGATCAATGTGAATGAGTGAATGAATGAATATTCGCTTATTTTTAGCGAGAACACCTCCGTTTGATTCTTTTCTCTTATACTCCACTGACTTTCTGGCAGTGAAAAGTTCACTGCAAATCGCGTACCGTAGCAGAAATATACAATACGTATGCACAGAGTGCGCCAAACCAACGGGGACAAATTTCGTAAGGACGTAAAATGTATTGAGGCGAACTAAAAAGTCCTTTACCATTTTACAAGTTGTCATATATTTATGGATTAGGCCACTCTGAACAAAAAAAGTTCTGAACCATTTTACAAATGACGCGCACATTTTTCAGTTATCAATTAAAGTGGCCTCTGGCTGTTTTCAATAATTAATAACTCGAAGTTCTGTGTGTTATTTGCAAAAAAGAAGTAGAGGACTTTCTTATTCGCCTCAATCCGTTCTACGCCCTCATGAAGTTCGTTCCCATTGGTCTGGGACATCCTGTATACGTGTACGCATTCGATCATACGTCGTATTTAGCGTAGTTCGTAGAATAATAGACTCTCAAGAGCTAGAGATCTCGAGTTCGAATACTGTCAGCGTGTTCTTCAAATATGATAAAAGTTAAATTAATCAAACACAATTAAAGAATATTTTAGGCAAAATCGTTGACAATATATTATAAGAATTATTAAGATGATAAAGAAAGAAGTAATAAATAATATCTTCCTTCATTGTTTCTGCAGTCATATTCCCCCGATGGGAACAATCACTGCATGTTAACAGACGTTTCCAGTGAAATTTCAACTGATTTGCAGTACTATACTTATAACTATGACAACCGATAACTGTTGATTGCTTCTCAGCGATTATATACTGTTTGCACTTCAGAGAGTAGCCAGTGCAAAATATAAGGATTCGACAAACGTATACGGTGTCTTCGAGCGAACCGTTGTGATTTCGCCATGCCTCGTGCGCGCCGGTAGAACGGGAGGGTGAGAAAGGGGGGGGGGAGGGCTTTCGCGTTGAAAATTGGTATTTACTGGATCATTAATATGGCATTCCACAGCGCGCGAAAGAGACGTTGCCGTGTCCGTCTGCCATATAGCCAGCGGCGCGGCGCGTTTATGATTTTTTTCCGCGGTGAAACGCGCGCGCGAACGCGGCATTTCATGAATGATGAAAATCAGACGCGCGTGGCTTCCGCGAACGCATAACGACTCCGTTCTGGCGCGGCATAATGAACGTAATCGGCGATCTAATAAATGCAACGGCGCTCGAGGAAAGAGAGAGAGAGAGAGAGTGACGGAGGGAGGAGGGGGGGGGGTAGAGAGAAAGAGAGAGGAGGAAGGCCCTTTTGCTATAACAGGTGTAGATTGTATCGCGAGATACAGATGGTGCGAGCCGTTGCGACACGCTGCGCCTCGGCCGCGCCGAATGAACGAGCGGGCTCTCGCGTTAAAATTCATCGCGCGCGCCCGGGCCTCGGCGTTCTAATTAACGTAATCCTCTATGAGCACGCTCGTTATCGATGCATTGCTAAATATCAACCGACGGCCGGTCCGGTAATTTTCTATGCCACCGGGTAGCGGGTGAGGCAATTCGCCGGGGAGACTAATCGAGAAGTTGCGCGCACCTTTGCGCAAGCCGATCGCGATGCATTGCATTATCGTTGCGATGGAGAAATTGATACGAGCGGGCGCGCGAGAAAGGAACGAGAAACGAACGAATTCGGCCGTTCTCGTTGTTCCTTCGCTCTCTCTTTCTCCCTCTTTTTGTTTCTCTTTTTTTCTTTCTACGGTGAAATCACTCCGACCATCCGGATTTTCAATTTTCCTCCGAAAGCGAAAGACACATCGCGTTCACAACATTCGGAACGTTTTGATTCTTCAAAAATCCAACGTTTCTCGAACGGGAGAGAGACGCGCGTATCGATCGCGCGCGAGAAACAGGGAGCACCGCTAAGGGCACTGAGAGTCTTTTATGGGCAGAGCTTGCCGGGAAAATAGAGAAGCGAGTGGATGAGAACGAAGTTCGTACGACGTAACCCCAACATTTTCCTGGCGCTACAGTGTTTCTCCCTTCGTGCTCGATTCTCCGCTCTTGTTCTTTTCTTTCTTCCCTCTCGCTTTCTCTCTCTCTCTCTCTCTCTCTCTGTCTCTCCCCGGCGCTCTCTGTCTTTCTCTTTTACCCCCGCTGCTTTCCGGTACTTCATCTAATCATTGAGTGCGCCCTTTCTTCCGTGCTTTTCTCCGTGGCGATTCGCGTTGCGATCTGCGGCGCGAAACGATGCGAGCTCGACGCTTTCCAACTCAGATTTCCCGACTCGCCTTACTTCTTGTATCTATATAATTAAGCTTTCGTGCTTAAAGTTGATAAATTGCGGGCAAACGGGATGCGTTACGAGACACAAAACGTCGCAAACTGTACCCAGCAACGTGT